GGGCGGAGCTGGCGGCGGGGGCGGGCCGTGGGGTTTTAGCCGTGACCGTGCCTGGGCCAGCAACTGTGCCGGCTGCGGAGTCAGTGGCCGAATCAGCAACAATGTCCATAGCTGAGCTGGGGGCTGAACCAGCGGCCAAGCGCATGGCCGAGCCAGCAGTGTTGTCCTCGATTGAATTGGCGGCAGTATCTGTGGCTGCAGCAACAAATGAGCTGGCAGCTGAGCCCATGGCTGAGTGATGCTGGTGTTTTTTTGTGGTTTCATTAAACTGGGAGAGGAGACTGGAGACTGTTCTTCTAACTTTCCAAGTTGTTGCTGCCCAAGTGACTCCACCTTAGAGTTGTCTGGACAGGGAGGGATCAGATTTGCCTGAAGCAGTGGAAAAGCTATTCTGAAAGCCAATACACTGTACCAAGCTTTCCAGATCAATATTAACATCCCCCAACCCCCTCCTTCCTGCAGAGTCCCTGAGCTTATACAATGGCTCTGACCCGTAGAACAACATTTTGACTTAACGGGGACACGTTTGCTCATTTCAGGTCCCAGTGTAGGAATTTTTGTTTTTGTTTGTTTTTTTCAAATGAACCGAAACATGTTGCTTTTAAATTTTTCCAATAGGGTTTTTAAAGCCCCCCTGCTGCCATGCTGCAGACTTAGCCACAGCTGCATTGCACCGGGCAGCAGTGAACAACAAAGCAATCCTCATTGAAAAGAGCTGCAGATGCAACACTGCCATCAACCTAGGGAGCTGCCTTCTGCTTGGTGTCTGGCAGTGCACTTAGTGCTCCCACTTGGTAATAGGGGGATCATGGGGAGGAAGGATCTCTTTCCAGCTAACATAAAAATCTTGAGTGGCTTAGCTGTGGGTCACCACGAGTGGGTACAGGAAGGACAGGGGTGTATAGCTTTGCATATGGAGATTGTGTGGGAGCAAGAAAATGAAATAAATGGCTTTGCTGAGCCCCTTTTCAGTTGTGATCTTTTGCGCAAGAAAACGGAGTAAGTGTATGTGTAGTGCTATTCCTACTAGTGCATGTGGGCTCTGAGGTGATTTGTGCCATTCTCCTAAAGGATGTGGGGAATGATCATACACCCCAGTGTCTGCAGCTGGGTGGATTAGAACAGCCAGCACTCGCCCTTTGCTGAGCTGTCAGGATGGCCTTCTCTATGCAGGGTACTGTAGCGTGATGTTGTGGAGTGGCTGGTGTTAGCACACTAATTAGAGCCCTCCCACCCCTCCTTGTCCCATACCCAAGCATCTCTTCTTCAGCTGATCACTAATCAAACTAAAGGTTTGGTGGGATCTCAGCATACATCTGTTTTGTATAGATTATAGAACATTTGGGTTGGAAGGGACCTCTAGTCCAATCCCCTGCTCAAAGCAGGACCATCCCCAACTAGATCATCCCAGCCAGAGCTTTGTCTAGCTGGGTCTTGCAAACCTCCAATGATGGAGATTTTACCACCTCTCTGTGTAACCTATTCCAGTGTCTTGCT